AGGGAGAGAGCCATTTCAGCAGGTGTTTGAAAACATTGAATCCCCAGGGGCCCTGTAGGGTTTCATTCCCATTTCTGTCACACAGCAGGTCCCATCACCTGAAAGCATGTCCTTCCTAGAAATGTGAACACAGCATCCAGGGCTTCATCTTAAAATCAGTGGCCCTTTTTCTTCTTGTCACACACCTGACAAGCCATAGATTATTCCCATTGACATTCCTGGGAACCAAGACAGCTTGCTTAATTCTCAGCTCTGTTTTAAAACTCAAGGAAACAGGGACCCACTGCCCTCCTCCTCTAGCGTCTTGATGGCTGTTGCCTTTGCAGAAACAGAGCAGTTGAAGCTTTTCAACCAAATGGGAATGGGGTGTCTAGTGCCTTGTGCTTGCATAGAGCCATGCAGTTTACAAAGTGCTTCACATACCAAATGTATGTGCCCCCCCAGTGCTCAGGACAATACAGGACAGTGGTCATCAACTTGAAGGTCACTGAGACCTGGGTCCAAGTTGCAGTAATTAGCTGGGTGGTTAGCGGCCATGGCCTTCGGTAACCTCCTGTGTAAATGGGAAGAGTAACAGTGCCTTCCTCACACGGTCAATGTGTGGGTTAAATACAACTGTAAAGTTCCTGGGTCTGTGTTGGGAATATAGTAGAGACTCCGTAAGTCTGACTCGTACTTGTCTTTCCTGGATGGAAGGTCTGACCACTGAAATAAACAGTGAAAGTTCCAAACAACAGGGAGCTTTGGCCTTGAGCCATCCAACAACCATGCAGCCCAGTTTTTCATTCCAGATCTCCCTTGTGGAGGATGCTGGGAAAACAAGAAGAGAGCTCTCATTAATTAAGCACCCACTGTGTGTGAGACGCTGTGCTTGGCATTTTGCATCCCTGATCTCTTTCATTCTCATTACAACCCTATGACATTCATTTTGATCAGACAGATGCAATGACTTACCAGGTGTAATACATGGCAGTCCCACGACTTGAGCTCAGGTCTTTCTTACCCCAAGCCCATGCCCTTTCTATAGTCAGGCTGGCTTCCAGTGAGTAAATGAAATGGTGTTTGAGAAGCACCAGAAACTCCCCGAGAAGGGTATAATCAGGCCTGGAGCACTAGCAACCCGTGAGGGGGTGAAAGCAGGGAACAGAACTCCTTGTTCTGACTCCCAGGCCGACCTGCAACAGCACCAGCCCTTCTGCAGGGTGGGGTGCCTGCATCTGGCATTCTAAACAGACCCAGGCTCCAGAGCCTGGGGCAATGTGGGTTGTCAGAGCACTGGGCTGGGGATCAGAGGCCTTGTAGTCTGCAACCGGGTTTCCATGGCCCACTTTGTAGAATAAGAATGTAGGCTGGGGAAGGGGCTGATCTGGTTCAGCACCTACTGTGTGCCAGGGACTACATGAAGTGCTGCTGAATGCATGCTTGCATTTAACCTGCCCAGAGGAAGCTGAGGCCGAGAGAGGTTAAGTCACTTTACTCAGATCATGCAAGTGATAGAGGATCATCTGCACTCTGGTGATAGATTCTACGTCTCTCTCGCCGCATTGCCTACGCAGTACCGAAGACTGCATCTGTCACTTTGTTCTGCTTATAACTGCTCAACAGAGCAGAGGCACAGATAATCTTCCTTAGAAGATACAAATCTGGCTCACGAATACATTTTTTGCCCCTGCCAGACTGTGTTTTGTGTCTGTGGCAGTGTTTTGGGTGACATGATAGGATGTGCCCTTACAAGCTGGTAAGTGAAGAGTCGCTCTCTTTGTCCCAACATAGGCAACATCCTTGACAACCCCTCCTCCTCCCCCACCATTCGCCTCAGGTTCCAACTCCCCAGAACTGAGCTGGAGCTGAGGAATCAGTACCTTTCCCACTTCCCAAGTTCATGGCTCCCTCTTTGGTTATGGCTTCTGTTTCACCAGCTTGAATTCCCCCTGGCTACTTCAGAATCCCAGTTCCAGGAGCAGGGTGAAAGGTAATGACAATGAAGAATAAAGACATCAGAAAAGGAGAGAGGGGACCTGGGGTCCTGTCCCAGCCCTGCCACTCACAAACCTGTGAGCTGTGGCAAGTCAGCTGGCAGCTTTGGGTAGT